ACAGGGGGAAGAACGATATTTTGGCTCCATTTTGTGTTCTAGTGGCATGTTTTGGAGGTGTCTTTTTAAATTTCTAATTATAGCGGGCAACGTAAGAGAAAATTACATTCTAGGGAAAGGGGGGGTAAAATCTCTCTGTATTTCTAGATGTCCAGTCAACAGAAGCAGGGCTGTAGCCGGGATTTTTTGTTTACTTCAGGGGGCATTTAAATAAAATGAAGGGGCACTGTGTCAGGAGTGACACGAGAGTAAAAGTTTTTTAAACTGACAAGAAATAGAGAGGGCTGGAGTAGGGAGCAGACGTGTCCTCTCAGTACAACTTGGCAGGAAGCCCTGTAGAGTTCGTGGGGGAGATCTTCAGAAAGTAGTAATGTCACCCTAGCTTCTTCCTTTATGGCAGACATGGGTGGCAGGTTCATTCCTCACAGCTGAGAAAAGGCAAATAAGGAAACACACTCACCACACCACTGCTCCTGTACAATAAGTCTGCCTGCCTTCTTGAAGGTTAGAAACCTATTGCCTAGTCCACAAAATCATGCACCCTGTGAGGGCTCATTGGGGCCACCAACTTGCAGCTCTCATAAGTTTGCCCAATAAGGGTGTCTAGCTGGCAGCCTGACCCCTGGAAAGACTGTCTACTAGGGATGTGCATTTGGTTCGTCCGAACCAAGTGCACCCCCGAATATGGCCCATTCAGACCCCTTTCAGGCTGCTGCAGGCTGATTCAGATTCTTTGTTCTGAATTGGCTTGCTGCCGAATTGCCGCTGAATTTCAGTGGCAATTCGGCCCCATTATATCCTATGGGCCATTGAAGTCAATGGCGAAAACATGGGGTATATTCTGGGGGCTGGAGGGGAGGGGGATGGGGCAACCTGTTTGAGGGCCCATAGAATTGGACCCCCTGGTCCAATGTTCTTCAAACTTGGTTGGTATCTTGGGCAGCGGCTTTAGCAGCTAACCTGTGACTTTGGAGCCTCTCCCTCAAACCCCCTCCCCTCCAGCTCCCATAATATACCCTATCTTTTTGCCATTGACTTCAATGGCCCATAGGATATAATGGGGCTGAAACTGACATTCGGCTGGCTGAAAGACTCCTGAATCCGTTCGTACTGCCAAAATGGACATGCAGGAGTCTTTATGCTGGCCGAAATTGATCCTGCCCAATTCGGCCAAATCTGAATTGGGCCAATTTTATTTTATTTTTGCACACCCCTACTGTCTACTATTCCTGTAGAGGTCAAATCTGGGTCCAAAAGACATCCATGTTCTTCCGCTGCTCATGAGACTGTCCTCCCCTCTTTCCTCCTCATATTTTGGTCCATTTGAAACTTCTCAGCAGGCCACCTAGATCTACAGCTCACAGTGATGCCTCTTCAGTCATGCCAATATTCTACTATGAGACACCTTGTCAGTAGTGGAAACCTACTGGATGCCAAAGATGATGGCAACCCCAGATTGTCAGCAATCTAGTGGAAGATGACACAGTCATCATTTTGATAAAGCAAGATGATTTTGATATTGGTTAGTAAGCCAAAACTAGTACCATATGATTATAACAACATATTGGATCTACTCTTTCCATCCCACAAGAGAAACCAATAGACTAGGACAATTAGATGGTTTAATTCTTTCTCCTAATTAACTGTTCCTTCTTGTTTAACTCTGGCCTCAGAAGAATAATGTAACATTTAGGGGAAAATATACAAGCCAGTAATCCAGCACTGGAAGCCAAGATAGAGAAGACCTCCACAGCCACCATGTATTTTCCTTTGGTGCTCATGTAGGTCGGAATAAAAGACACCCAAACACTGCAAAATATAAACATACTGAAAGTGATGAACTTGGCTTCATTAAAACTGTCTGGCAGCTTTCTGGCTAGGAAAGCTACAGTCAAGCTTATTATTGACAGAAGTCCCATGTAACCCAGCATAATATAGAACATGATAACAGACCCTTCATTACATTCTACTATGATCTCTTCAGTCAGAGACTGTGTGTCAGAGTCTGGGAAAGGGGGACAAGTTCCTAGCCACACCACACAAATGCTTACTTGAATTAGTGAGCAGGAAATGACAATGAAGTTGGCCAGTCTTCTCCCCACCCACTTCCTCATGATGAATCCTGGTTTGGTGGCCATGAAAGCTACAACCACAGTGATGGTTTTGGCCAACACACAAGAAACAGCCACTGAAAATATGATGCTGAAAGTGGATTGTCGGAGGAAGCAGGTCGCTTTCCTAGGTTGTCCAAAAAACAGCAAGGAACAAAGGAAGCAGAACAGAAGGGAGATCAGGAGAGTAGAGGTGATATACCAGTTATTTGCTTTGACAATGGGGGTATCTTTGTGCTTAATGAAAGTTCCTAGCACTATGGCTGTGATCAGGGAAAAAGAAACAGCAAGTGAGGCTAAACAGATCCCTAGAGGTTCTTCGAAAGTGAGGAAGCTGATTGTCTTGGGAATGCACTGGTTTTGATCCTTGCTTGGATATTGATATTCTGGACACTTGATACAGTCATCCATGTCTGAAAAAGATTAGATGTCCAATTTCAGCATCAATTTGTATGCAAACTAAGACTGATTTTATACAACTTCATTGTGAGGGTACCATTGGAGTCACTTTCAACAGTTTTCTTCAAAACTAATAACTAAATAACCTGGGACATACTACAATTTGTATGCATTCCACAGAGTTTTTCAAGTATTCACAGCAGCATAATACATATCTCCATATATACAAGTTTTGCACATGGCACTGACAGCCATACATCACTGATACTTAACTTCCTGTTGAAGACCTTCTTTTGAAGCCATGTTGGCCTGCAGTAGAAGATCTAGATTCAAGTCCAGTAGCATCTTAGAGACCAACAAGATTTTGGTCCTTTTTAGCTGAAGATCCTGAAGACTGAACCTAGGACCTTCTACACGCAAAGCAAAGACTCTTCCACTGAAACACAGCCCTTCCCCTTTTTTCTCATGGCTGTTTGGAGCAGGAAGTTTTTTTTATTTTTGAGATCTGACATCCACTAATGTATGGTTGCTCATACTTTCATATACATCACTTGGTGACCACAACTGGATGTGTTAATGGATTCCATTGGCTAACATTACTCAAATTATTATCCTCAGATTTACCCTTCCATCCAGAAATGTGTCCTCTGTTTTAAAAAATGGCAACACACATCCTCTTGTGAACTCTGCTTGCTATATAGCCACCCAAATTCATGTCACTGAAGAACACATTGTTGTGCTCTGTCGCCTACCCTTGTGGAGTGAAATCTTCCCTTCTGGGCATGAAACACAATCATAGCAGCAAAATTTCTCCCCTTCTCTCTTATTTTTCTGATAACCAGGGTGACAGGATCCACTACACAAAGAAACTGGCAGCATCTATTGGCAAACACAAGAGGAAATATGGTTGCCCATCAAGCACTCCGCAATGAAAGAAAGGATTCATTGGCATGGCATAATGAATTTTTATAAAATATGATGTATGAAGCATTCAGTAAATTAGGTCATCAGGGAGAATTTACTAGGATTAATGGAAACAGTGGTAGTGTGTTTGGTCTCTTTCAGTCTCCTACTCTACTGTTCTAAGTTTAGGGTAGGTGAACCATTGGGTAGTAATCATCTGCCTCTCCATTTAGAAGTAATACTCCCCTTTGGCGAGAAGCTTGAACAAGAACCTGAGGTAGGATTAATTAGTTCAGGTCAAATTTTAAAAAGAGCCCAATGGGATGTTAATAAATCAAGTGAGGCCTATGCCATCTTTTATTCAGACACTTGTCAGAGCCTTATGTTACAACTTTCTGATGAGCCAACGATTAAATAAACGGTGATTTTGGAGCAAGTGTTTCACTTTTTTGACCATTTGTTGTTTAAAAGGGTAACACAAAGCCACAACCTCTTTTTAGGAAAAAAAATTGGTTCGACAGAGATTGTTATCATGCTCGTAAAGAAATATGTAGAATTTACAGAGCAAGTGCAGTCTCCAAAAACAAAGGAAATCTAATTTACATGCTCAATTTCTCTTTGCTAACGATCAGAAAATCAGTATGGGGCAATTGCTCCAATGAGCAGGACAATTCCAACTGCAGAGTGACCCATCTGAAGAATGCAGTGGTCCACTTGGGACCTACAAGAAACCACACCTGGTTAAAACATCTGGGCCACACAATCTTATCCTCATTAATGATGAATTGCTGTCCTTTGAGATCGCTGTAATCCACTCTTCCAACTTTCATTCTAAAGATGGACTTGTTTGGGAATGTGACCAGGTTCATGATATCAAAGCCAGCTCCCATTTCTTTGTTCGCTTTGAAAGACATAGTTCCTCCAGCTGAATTATTAAATGAAATATCTTGAAGAACTGGGTGGAGCTAGTTGCAAGAATAAATAAAAACAAATTGCATTAGACTGACAGACTTTCACTAGTCCTTTTTGAAACCAACGGAGCAAAATTTTAATGGATTCTTAAGTTATACCAGCTTTGATGAAAGAGGATACCTGAAATGGAGTTTTCACAAGCTAGTCCTCCATCAGCTGGATTTGCATGGAATGTCTACATTTTCTCTGAAAATAGGACACTTGAGCTTAATGTTGACATAGCACTTTTTTACTTTACTATAACTGGTTGCCAGATATGTGCTTGAATGTCTTTACAAATTTCTATTGGAACTTTTAGTCCTAGTATTACATGTATTAGTAATTAATACACACCAAAATTGCTGTATAACTTGCATTTATTCATTACAATAAGATGAGTTTATAATTAGTGAAATTTCATGGCATAATTTTTGTGAGTTATTAAATGAAACATCTTGAACAGCTGCATGGAGCTAGTTGTAAGAATAAATCATAGAATGATAAAATCACAGAATCACAGAGTTGAAAGTGGCCATACAGCCCATCTAGTCCAGACCCCTGCTCTATGCAAATTAATCACAATATATTAATAATCTTTTTTTCAAACACTTATTTCTCATTGATATAACCCCAGAGTCAGTGAATAATGGGCAGAATGTTGTTGAAGAATGGATCTTTGCTACCTTTCCCATCTTGGTAGCAGTCCATCAACCTTACACTTGATACAACATGGTGCAGCGACTGCAAGGGGAAATTGGCAAAAATTCCACATACATTTACTTGTGCAAAATTAGCCCATTTGTGGAAGAGTGAGGTCATTGTCTGACAATTGCCATTCGCACTGCAAGCCCACCCCTGTGTTGTATCCTACCTTGTTCCTAGTGGACCCCAAATCCTCAGGAACACTTTTTAAGGGGGATCACGTGAGGATGCAGAAAAAGCAGCTAACAAACATATGTTGCATAAGCACTACCCTATTCGCACATTCCTAGATCCAAGCTATAATTCTGTGCAGTTTCATTGAGACCCAATTTGGTAAATAAATGTTAGTTTGGTTTCTTGCAGTTGTAAATCCCTGAAAATGTACAGCTTAACATTATTCAATCTCAAAGTATTGAAAGAAAGGTGAACCCACAAAACTGTGACAATAATGTGTCCAACATAATTTCCCTGGTTCTTAATGCAAGACGAAGCTGTTCATTGCCACAAAGTTGTTCCATGTAGAGGAATTACCTTCCAAGGGTGGAGATGTAGAAGAGCATCTCTTTTGCTGTCCCGCACACCTCTGTGATTGGACCTGGATGAGTACATGGAGTGTAAAGCATGTGCCACAGCATAGATGGCATTATAGATACTGTAGCTGTGGCCAGTCATCTGCATTGCGAAAACAGGCTCAGGAAGACTCTCCAACCTCTCCTCCCCAGTACAGGTTCCATTGACTTTGATGGCCATGTTGCAATTTGGATAATGACAGTCGAATGCTTGCTCCCAGAAGCTCTTGAGGAAACTATCCCTTCTGGTCCAGCAAGGTCTGACGACCTGAAGGAATTTTTGATACACTGGAAGCTCACTGGAGTGAATCATGAAGGAAATGGCACCTTGGAACATTTGCAAATCTGAAAGTGATTGAATGCTTGTCAAAGCAAAATCAATCTGGGCAGTCATAATCCACACCTTTCCATCAGATGCATTTTCTACATGTCCAGGAGCTCCAAGAAGCATGAAGTAGCTCAGCCACAAAATGGTGAAAGTTTCTCCATAAAGGACACATGTATTGACTTTCCCATCTGTTACAGGCCGATAAATACTGATGACCATGTCATTGATCTCAAAGATGTTGGTCAAATAGGTTTCTTTTGGAACTCTTTCTACGAATGCAGAACATAATCCATGCTGGGCAAACAGGGACTCCAGGGCCTGCAAGAAATGTTCTCCACTCTCATCATCCACAGCATATAGCCCAACCCATGTCCATCCAAAATGCTTCAATAAATGGATAATTCCCTTGTACTGTTGGGCTTCATTGGGGACCATGCGGTAAAAGGATGGGGACTGTCGTGTATTAGTATTTTCTGAAGCAAAGGAGCCATATGTGAGCTAAAAGACAATGTGGAGATTTTTAAGAAAGGGATAATATGCTGCCTCTGTTTTTTTTTTAAAGGCAGGGTTCTTTTTGTAGCAGGAGCTCCTTTGCAAATTAGGCAACACACCCCTAATGTAGCCAATCCTCCAAGAGCTTATAGAGTTCCTACTGCAAAAAGATCCCTGAAAAAAATGAATATTTGTGACACTGACAACCTGATTTCAGCTTGCCGTTTCAGAGAGTATGAAAGTCAAGGATTCCTCTAACTGATATGAGCTAACACAGTGAAAGAGATGCAGGGATTCTACCTGTGGAATCTTGTAAAGGACTAAAATATCTGCCATGAGGAAGGAGATATCAGAGCCTAGTCCCCCAATGATGGTTATGAGGTTCTTCTCAATGTCACATTTGTAGTTGGGGACAAATCTGTGTAATTTGGAGAGCAGTTCCAGAGTGGTCCGATAGGTCATCTTTCCATCATAGTAGCTGTCACAGACATGGAACCCAAGTGTGATGTTGGGCAAGATCATGGGATTCTCATTGATCTCATCTATGGCAAATGCCAAGGACAGCATGTGCTGGTAGAACTTGGTCACCACACTGCAGAGAGAGGTGCATACTCTATCACAAGTCAATTCTACAATGCATGGGCAACACTTTACCATAGTGCTGACCCACTCTGGGCTCAAATAAATTAACCTAATTTTGAAATCAACTCATCTGAACATTACGAGCTTGCATTGTTTTTTGAAAGGATGGGAAGCTTGCAGTGGCTGGGGAGAAGAGAATTCAAAGAGATGATCATTGAGGGAGGCAGACAGGAAGATACATAAGATAATGAGAGTGCCGCAGGCAATTTCAAAGGGCTCAGTCTGGAGGCGCCTGATTTTACCCCGCCCTCCCTGCACGCAGGCTCAGGGCGGCTTACATGGGGCACAGGCCCGGCATAAAACCCAGTAACAGTAAAATCATAAATGACAATAATACTAATCACAATAAGTAACAATAAAGTGCTTGCAATTATCAAGATGGTCTCAGTTGTTATAATAATGGCAAAGGGCTCAGTCTGGAGGCGCCTGATTAGAATATTCTTTGGTTATTTTGATTGGTTGGATCCAGCCAGCTGATCTTTTGGAGAAAAAGGGGAGTCACTTTTCACCAAAGGCAATGATGGGGCCTGCATGGAGAAAAGCCATGTGGGATGGAGGCTATAGTAAGAAAGAGGATTGGGTGACATGGAGTAAAACAACTGGCTGGATCCCACCACTGAGTTTTGTGCATTTGCAACATCTTGCTTTGTTAGCTACCTTGAGTCAAAGTTGAGACATGGCCTTTTTTATTTATTTTAAAATATTTATCCCTGCTATGAATTCACTATGTCACCTGAGGTAAGCCCCCCTCACAACTTTCTTCACCCCTCCCACCGTCAGCAATATGGGGACAACTGTACCCTTCTCCCTAACATACAAGATGGTTTAACTCTGAGAAGTGCTGTGACCACTTTTAAGCACACTATGCAAATGTTACATATTGTTTATTCTGATATGGAAGCACCACATATATGTACATCCTCTGTGATTCTTTTGACCACATTAAATTTGCTTAGGTTTCCAACTTCACATAAAATGGGGAGAGGGGGGAAAAAATAACTTACATAGGGATGTCAAACAGCTTCTGAGAAGGGTGCTCCTCAAAGGAAGGTCTGTGGAAAACATAAAAGACTTGAGAAGTGATCCCACCAATGATGAGGTCACCGGGCTGATACCACTCATGTGGAACTGGGACGGCATTAGTCGTGGGGCACTTCTTAGCAGTTCCTTTGCATGCCATGTGAGGTAGCAGAAGCAGCAATGCTACTAACGCCACCGTCTGATGGGAAAGGGTCTCTCTGGGCAGAAGGTGCTCCCGTGTCCATCTGCATCCCCACGGCTACATTGCTGAAGGTTCAAGAAGCAAGAAGGGTCAAGAATGGACTCTGCCAAGAGACTTCTCATGGGGAAGACTACCACTCTTTTATTTAACCTCAGCAAAGTTAGACAAAGCCCTGACAATCGGTGACACCACTTTGAAGCCAGAGTTAAAGAAATCAAGGGAGACTTTCTCAAGATTCAAAATACCAGGGTTCTACCTACTTTTACTCCTAACCCCATCTTCTGAAAGGCACGTGAAAGGCTTTATAACTACTCTCCAGGTTGTATATTAGTTATTTTTCTAGTTCCTTCTGAAAGGCTGTTAGAGTTCAGGGAGAAATAATAAATTATGGTGATTTAGAAAATTGCATGGGGGATTAATTACTTCTGCAAAAGTTGGGATCTTAATAATAGCGCTGTTACCAAATGGCTTTTCTTCACCACTTCTTAGTTGGATAAACAAGTAGGAGATGGGTTCTGTCTGGCCAGAGGAAGCAACTCACAAGGCCCTGTGGTGAAAGTGGACCACTATATTTGTGAATCAGAATTGGCTATCTTCTCCTCTCATCCACAATAAAGTTAAAGAATTATCAGAATTTTTGCTAAATGGCACAGCAAGTCCCCTGTTGAATGCTGGTTTAGAACCCTGGCAAAGGCTTTTAGGGATTAATTGAGGCCTGACTAAATCCCATCACATTTCCTATGATATCATTGTGGAGGGGCGTGATATTAAAATCAGTAGAAGGCTGGGGCGTAGCTCTTCCCTCTGAAGCGGGCCCTCAGAAAGCTCTCTAGCACAAGCTGCAATCTCCTTGGCCAAAAGATGGCAGCAAAGATGCTCACCAGCTCACCATCTGGGACTTTTTAGCTTCGAAAAGAGATGACTAAGGGGGAATATGATAGAGGTTTCTAAAATTATATTTGGGTGGAGAGAGTTGACAAAGAAACACTTTTCTCCCTTTCCCAAAATACTAGAACTCACAGGCATCCAATGAAGCTTTTGGGCAACAGATTCAGGATGAACAAAAGGAAATACTACTTTACACAGAAACTGATTAATATGTGGAATTTGCTGCTAGAGAATGTAGTGATGGCCACAGGAATAACAAGCATTAAAAGGGGATTTGATTCATGGAAGATAGGTTTATCAATAGCTACTAGCCATGGTGACTGAGAGGAAACTCTACATTCAGAGGCACTAAAACGCTGAATCCCACAGCCAGGAAGCAACATCTGGGAAAGGCCTGGCCATGGCGCCCTCCTGCTGGCCCTACAGAGGAACTGGTTGGCCACTGTGTGAGACTGGATACTGGTCTAGATGGACCACTGGTCAGAGGTCAATTGGGGAGATTGCAGTTCCCCCGGGTGAGGTGCGGGGGCAGGGCACATGATGAAGCCCCGCCCCTGCTTCCGGCCGCCCCACTTCCGGCCCTCATTCAGCCAGGAGGAGGTAGGAGAAGAGGGAGGGTAAGTTGCTTCCTCCCCGCCTCTCCCCATTCCTGCCTGCCTGGGGCCAGGGAGGGCCTTGGCGGGGCTTCCTCGCACTCCCGCCGGCCTTGCAGGTCCACCACCGGGCCCCTGATGTCAGGGGGTGTGGCATATGCTAATGAGTTATGCTAATGAGTTCCCCTAGCTCTTTTTCTATGAAACGACCCCTGCCACTGGTCTGATCCAGCAGGGATCTTCTTATGCCCTTAAGTATGCTCCTTTGGAACCTCATTGGGTAGAAAGGTAAAGTATAAAGAAGCAAATAGCTAAATATCCCTTTGACGGAACTGATCTAGGTAGTGTTTTATCAGCATTGAGAACTTCCTCCCTTGTAATTTAATTTCCTCATTTTAGGGCCTAGCATTCTTATTTGCAAAAGAAAGAAACAGGAGAGGTGCTCAGTGACTGGGGGGAGCAGTGTGGACATATTTATTCCTACTGATTCCACTGACAGTAAAACTTGGCAGGGATAATAATCTCTGTTTGGAATGATTCATAATTGTGCCATTTGTTCTGTTGGCCAGAGCTCCAGCAGAGGGCATTGGAAGAGTTAGTAAGTAAATCAGAAAATTAGTCTCTGTAGATTTTCCGGGTTGTGTGGCCATGGTCTTGGGATTGTAGAACCTGATGTTTCTCCAGTAGCTGTGACTGGAATCCGTGGAGGTATAACACAGAAAGATGGAGTACTCTCTGTGTCAAGAAATCAGAAAGTGGTTATCGAGGGGAAATGCTGAAGGGAAGTGTGGGGGTCAAAATGTGGTAACAATACTGCACAAGACCGGAGGGGGGTTGAAATTTGCGGGGAATCCTTGCTAGGCAAAAAAAGGGTATATTTGTCTCCCCTGCAAATGTATCCAAGTCATTTTTATTCATTTTTTTAGCAACACTTTCAATGGAATTGAACAAAGCTGGGAAGAAAACAGCCAAGGAAGTCACTGGCTGGGTGAAACTGATGGGCACAGAAGGGGTTCATCACCTTGCCTTCTCTTGGGCTCTCTGTAACTACTACCACCCACCACTGCAAACACAGACACAGAATTGCAGCCACAACCTGGTGAAAGAAAAACACAGACAATAACCAGTCTTTAAAGCAGATGCCCCCCCCCCATTTTAATGAAAGCACCTCTCTGTCAAGCCCCTTTATGCTGAAAAGTTGATGCAGGGGAGGGGACATGAGTCCCCTTATGCAAATCACAACATTTAGCTATAACTTCTTAGAGTCTCCTGTGTCCCCAAAACTGGACCTTCCTCAACCACTGGCAGGTAGTCCACCTCTTGACAAACATGGAATACGCCTTTGCTTTGATCTTGATTTTCATCAGCCCTTCATGTGAGTCTGTCTTGGAAGTGAAGGCATGAAATAATTCTTCTGTTATTGATCTGTAGATCACGACTGAACTTTTCTCTTCTTCTTCTCCTCCCAGGGGTCCTCTCCCAAGTCACACTGGTGGAATCAGGGCCAGGAACAGCCAAGCCTGGAGAGTCGATCAGGCTGAGCTGCAAAGTCACCGGATACTCCATTTCTACTGGTTCCTGGTGGAGCTGGATAAGGCAGCCTCCTGGCAAAGGCCTAGAATGGGTAGCATTTATAACAACTGGCGGGAGCACGTACTATGCACCCTCTCTCCAAAGCAGGATTTCTATCTCCAAAGACGATGGCAGGAATGAGTTCTACCTGCAGATGTCCTCCCTGACTGTTGCAGACTCAGCCACATACTACTGTGCAAGAGACACAGCGAGAGGACTGAACTAAGAGCCCTGGCAAAAAAGGGAAAGCAGGTTTTAGACATAGTGGAAAGAAATTCATAATTTCTTTGGAGGTTTGAATGAAACAAAACCTTCACCAGGAGCTTTTGAAGTGTTTCTCTCTGGGCAGAGAACAGGCAGAAGTGGGGAAGTCAGTTCAGTTGTTTTCCAGCCTCACCTCAGCCAACCTTTTTGAAAAGCTAACAGGTCTAGCTAGAGACAATGGGATTTTCATGCTCCCCCCTCCTCCAAGGAGGAAATATACATTTGGAAGAACTTCTTTGACCCTGTTTGACCTGCTCAGTGGAAAGAAAAAGAGAAATGGTAAGATTCCTGGGAGAAAGGAAAAAAGTCTTTTTTGTGCTGATTCCATCACAGCAGACAGAACTCTTGCATGAGGTCTGTGGGAGGAGGCCATTGCTATTTTGCACACCCAAAAGAGGCTTCAAGGTAATTGAAACTCTGTAGAACAACAGATAACTTCTTAAGCTAAGGAACCTGCCTCTGATAGGGCACGTATCTCATAGGACATGTATAGAGAAAGGGAGAGAGAAATTGAGCTTTACCCTTTTCACTTGAATCCCTTGCTCAGTCTGGTGTTGACCTAAGAGTTTCTTATTTATTTTTATTTTATTCTCATTATATTCAATTTATAGCAGAGCCCACCCTTCCCTGCATAGCAGGGCTCAGGGCAGAGAACATCACTAGTGGAACAACATTAAAACAGTAACTATAAACCAATCATTAAACGATGAAACCCCAAGTAGTAACACAATCAAAACTGAACATTCAGATGGCAAGCAATACAGCTCAGTGGAAATTATGCATCATTTGTGCGTGGATGTTGAATGACCATACAGCTGATGGACAGATGCACAGAGCAGGGGGAGGCCAATATTGAGGGAATTTCTGCTGCTTCAGCCATGGGCCTGGCAGAACAGCTCCATTTTACAACCCCTGCAGAACTGCATTAAGTCAGGTGAGCATTCCAGCAGGCTGGTGCCAGAGCTGAACAGGCTGTGCCTCTGGCTGAGGCTAAGAGGATGTGTTTCAGGCCAGGGATCACCAGAAGAAGAAGTATGATTGTGAACATTTTCTTTTTAATAAAAGTTTGATCCTGGCTGTGGTTCTCTGTGCCACATAGCTCTCTACTGTCTCGGAAACACTATTTTAAAAGAAGCACCAGGAGGAAGGGGAGGGCAGTCAGTTGGCAAGCGGTGCCCAAGGCAGGAAGCTGTCCCCATGGTAACCAAGCACTGGCATAGCAGGAGACACAGAGGCAAGGCCTCAGAACATGGAAGGGAGGCTGGGAGTCCTGACCCTTCCAGTGAGCAATTCCTACAAAGGTCAGATGGTGGCAGTGGTTGAACAGAGAGAGAGAAAAGTGAAAGAAAACCGCAGGCAACAGCCAGTCTCCCCAAGGGTTGTTGCCCTTCTTAATGAAGGCATCACTCTGCCAGCCCCTTTATCCTGTGAAGGGGATGAAGGGGCAAGGGAAGATGAGTTCCTTATGCAAATCACAAGCCCTGAGATACATCTTCTTAAACTGCTTCTCAGT